TGTGCGATGCCGTGTGTAGTGACTAGCTGGGTCGTTACACATGTTCTTCCAGATCCTTGGAAAAATAAAGATGTCATAAATGAATACCACCACAAATTTATCCAGGAATGGTCGAAAGATTCTGTTCATGTAATCCATGAACACTGTTGGGGCATTGGTCATTCCGAACGGCATCACAACATATTCATAGTGACCATACCTAGTCCTGAAAGCTGTCTTTAGTATGTCACTCTCCTTCACACTAATCTGGTGATATCCTGATCTTAAGTCAATCTTTCAAAATATTGATGCTCCCTTCAATTGATTCATTAAGTCATCTATCCGGGGAAGTGAATATTTGTTCTTGATGGTCAATTTGTTCAACTGTCGGTAATCAACACACAATCGACTACCTCCATCCTTCTTCTTCACCAATAATATGAGAGCACCCCATGAAGATATACTTGGCCTCACTAAATGCTTCTCTAGCAACTCCTCCACCTGTCTCTTCAATTCAACCAACTTCGCTGGGGCCATCCTATAGGAAGCAACTGATACTAACCTTGCACTAGGAACCAAATCAATGCTAAACTCAATCTCCTTAATAGGAGGTAACCCCGACACCTCATCCGGAAACACCTCCAAAAATTTCCTTACAACTTCAATTTCAACAATTATCTTCTCTGTCTCCACACTCATAGTAGCGAGCAGAATACAACACTACTCCGTCCCTCAACAACACTTCAGCTTGGTTGGCTGAAATCAACAACTCATCTTCCATCTGAGGAAATATCAACTCCCTGTTGGCACAATCTATAAGAATATGATTGGCAAACAACCAATCCATCCTAAGATTATGTCAATATCAACTAAAGGAAAACAAATCAAGTTCACCTTATACTTCCTATCACACATTTCCAATGGACAACCAACACATATCTTAGAAAGCAACCACATAAACAGAAGCAGGAGTAGACACAAGCAATCTCAACCCCAAGGTACATACAGGCAATCTCAACCTCTCAACACAAGCATATGAAATAAATGAATGGGAGGCCCCCGAGTCAAATAATAGTATCATCACATCCTTACTAGTAGCTTTACCCTTCCCTTTCACTAGATCAGATGAAGTGGAAGCTTCAGCCCCAGTCAAGGCAAACACCCTCCTAGTTGCAGTAGGTCTATCACCTCTCAGAGTATCCCTGGTCTGTCTAGCACCTAAAGGACAACTAATCGACACATGGCCCATCTGGCCACATCTGAAACACTTGCTCTCAGTATGAGGGCAATCACGAATGAAGTGGGGTCCACTACATCTGTAACATCTAAGAGTAGTAGCTCCACCTCTCTTGGACCCAACTGGTCCCTCAGTAGTCTTCGTCACCCAGTTGCCACCTTTCAACCGCTCAACAACTTTTTCCTTCTCAACTAAGGCCAGAAACTCAGTGATGGTCATAGGCACCACCACCCTCTTCAACTCATGCTTCAAACCTTTAGCAAACTTCCTGTACTTCTAGGCTTCAGAGATAGCCTGTGAATAAAAATGAGCCAAATGCTCAAATCGCATCACGTAATCAAAATCTGTTAAGCTCCCTTGGTGCAACCTCATAAACTATTATATTTCAAATTTTATATTTATTTGATAATTTTGAAATAAAGGAAGAAGACTATTTATCTGTGATTTAAACATAAAAAATAATCTAAGAGTAGTAGCTCCACCTCTCTTGGACCCAACTGGTCCCTCAGTAGTCTTCGTCACCCAGTTGCCACCTTTCAACCGCTCAACAACTTTTTCCTTCTCAACTAAGGCCAGAAACTCAGTGATGGTCATAGGCACCACCACCCTCTTCAACTCATGCTTCAAACCTTTAGCAAACTTCCTGTACTTCTAGGCTTCAGAGATAGCCTGTGAATAAAAATGAGCCAAATGCTCAAATCGCATCACGTAATCAAAATCTGTTAAGCTCCCTTGGTGCAACCTCATAAACTATTATATTTCAAATTTTATATTTATTTGATAATTTTGAAATAAAGGAAGAAGACTATTTATCTGTGATTTAAACATAAAAAATAATTTTTTATATTAAATTTATATAATTACATAATCTTTTAAAATGATATAAAATATAAAAAAGAAATTTATTTTACAAGATAAAAATTAATTTATTATTAATAAAAAATTAACTAAATCTGTATGTATTGTACTAGTAAACCGTCTACTTAATTAAAAGCTAATTAAGATGTAAAAATATAATTGGCAAACAAATAATTAACATGATTTTAAAATTTTAAAATGATAATTAAATAAAAATGAAGTTTTATTAATTTCTTTTTCTATTTTGTGTAACTTTACGCAAATTAATGAGCATTTACTCTTTTCCAAAATACTTTGGCTAACTAACTAATTACGAGACTCTGAAAAAATACATTACAAAAACTGCTAAGATTTACTTTTTTTTTTCAAACTCTCGTAATTATTTTGTTCATAAAAGTATATTGAAAGTGAGTATTTAATTAATTTTATTATTGCGTAATGTGCTTCCCACCAATGATAGGTCCAATTTAACAAATTCATGATCGTTACGACCCACGTATGACCAAACAAAGCGGCGCTTAGTAACTAACAGTAGAGGAATTTACTATTTAGTTGTCTTCGACACCTACAATGAAGACGAGGAGCTATTCCTACTCTTGTCTCTCTAGAATGTGCATGTCTTAGGTCTCTCTCTCATTTGCTTCTTCAGCTAATCTCTAATGGCGACAACTCCTATCACCTGCAACCATACTCATCATGCACTTCCCTGCTTCCTCACACGCTGCAATTCCACTACCATCACATTTTCTCGCACAAAATATCCCCCTTCTACTTCTCTACTCTCTCAGTTTCGCGTATTTTGCCAATCCAAGGTAATTCTTTCCTCTACCCTTTTCTGCCAACATGCTCTTTTCGTTAAAAGAGAATTGGAAAATGCTGGCCAGTGTCTAGAACTCTAATTAAAGAATCAAAACTAATTTTTTACATATTATGAAGTGCTAGAGTACACTCCCCCATGCAACTTTAATGTGATTTTCAATAAAAATTTCTATATTTTGATTCAGTGTCAGATGATTAGCAAAGACCCTGAGAAAAGTTATTAAGAAACATTATTTTGATCGAACTTTTTTCACATCTGATGAAAAAGTCAATTGTTATTATCATGTAAGCTTATGAGAAATCATGAATATACGTTATAATATCAGCTGTTCATGTTATCATCAAACTATTGATATAATTCAGCAAAAAAATCAAACTACTGATATTACTTCCTTTACTCTTGTTCACCTCTAGAGGAGCTAAATTCACATTTTTTCCCCCTTTAAATGCCATGGTAATTTATTGGGGGTATAAAAACTAGATTTTGGTGAGAAATTTTCATTCAGAAATTGTTCTTATCTAATTTTATTTTCATTAATTTACACACATGTTTTAGCATTCGTTATGCACGGTCACATAATTCAATCATATAAATATGATAAATTTTGGTTTCAGTTATTTATTTATTTATTCTTTTTTTAATGCTCATAGATTTAATATTTTAAAAATGAATCTTAATTTTTTAGTGCTTAGTACCTATGTGAACCACTAAAATCAACTAGTAGTCATATACACAAGTTAATTTTTTTTTTTTTAAAGAAACTAATAGGAGAAAATTTCTACAAATTAACTTATACATGAACTAATTTTAATTTACGAAGAAACTTATTTCATTCTTCTTTCTTATTTTTCTCTCCTAGAAGTACTTTTAGAAAAGTTTACCCAATAAATGTTATAAATGTGGAAGGTTTGTTTGTTGAAATGCTTTTTAAAACATTTCACGAGTTTTATTTAGGAATTTAGCATGTAGCAACCCGTGGCAAACTAGGGACGTTGTGTTCAATGAGAAACATGATGGCTTTCTCGTAGTGTTGGAGCTTCCTAATCCTATGTTGTAATCGGTATCTGCTACTTTCAGTGCTCACTCGAAAATAAACTACTTTCATGATTCTTATATCTTTCTTATATTTTGTTCTGTATGAAAAATTCAGTTGGAGCAGGCAATTTTGGATTTTGCAGAAGGCTTGAGAGTTATTGGGATTAAACCTGAAGAGAAGGTTGCACTTTTTTTGGATAATTCATGTCGTTGGCTTGTAGCAGATCAAGGTGCACAAAATTATTTTTCTCCACTTTCAGTGTATTGAGTCTAGGCACAAATCTTATGTGTACAAACTTTTCAAACATAAATAACAACCATAAAATATGATTGTAACATTTCAAAAAGTCAATAGTAAATTTTGAGAAATGTATGTAGTGCTTATGAATACATGTGCGAAGGAACTGTTACTGTCATGTTTCCTAAAAATGACCCCCATGTTTTAAAAATTGCTTGATTTGTGAAAGTTACCTCGATCCATTATCATGTGAAAAGGGATTTTTAATTTTTCATATATGCATATATCATAGATGTTGAGCTTAGTGGCAGATTTACAGAGTTTATATGCTCATAGATGTTGAGCTTACTGTCATGTGTATTTTGATAAATACACATTGATCCTAAGGACAACACACTTGTACTATTTGTCTAGGACAGTGTTGTATTTTATCACATCAATGCAATATTTTTTTGTCTAGGTATGATGGCAAGTGGAGCAATCAATGTGGTAAGAGGCTCAAGGTCATCAGTTGAAGAGCTATTACAAATATACAACCACTCTGAAAGGTTTGTTGATAAACACCTCAAGAATCTTGAATAGTCTGATAATGTTGCTTCAAGATGATCTTTGCACATCCACATATTGTGATTAAGCTTGTTTTAATTGATTGTCACATTTTTTTAAAGTGCTCAATCCGAACTGTTGAACTCAAAAGAGAATTTGTTGATCTGTGCTATTGTTTTGCAGTGTTGCACTAGTGGTGGATAACCCTGAAATGTTTAACCGGGTTGCAAACACATTTTATTCAAGGACTAGCATGAGGTTTGTTGTTTTGCTTTGGGGAGAAAAATCAGACCTGGTTGGTCAAGAAAACAAGCACGTGCCAGTGTTTACTTTCATGGAAGTCATAAATTTGGGACGAGAGAGTCGCCAGGCATTGTCTAATACTCATGATGCTGGTAAGTATCAGGCTCTTACTAAGAATTAGGTTTCAAGTATAGATAAATATGATAAATTTTGGTTTCAGTTATTTATTTATTTATTCTTTTTTTAATGCTCATAGATTTAATATTTTAAAAATGAATCTTAATTTTTTAGTGCTTAGTACCTATGTGAACCACTAAAATCAACTAGTAGTAACTAGTATTGGGTAGATATACAATCATAGATGTTGAGCTTAGTGGCAGATTTACAGAGTTTATATGCTCATAGATGTTGAGCTTACTGTCATGTGTATTTTGATAAATACACATTGATCCTAAGGACAACACACTTGTACTATTTGTCTAGGACAGTGTTGTATTTTATCACATCAATGCAATATTTTTTTGTCTAGGTATGATGGCAAGTGGAGCAATCAATGTGGTAAGAGGCTCAAGGTCATCAGTTGAAGAGCTATTACAAATATACAACCACTCTGAAAGGTTTGTTGATAAACACCTCAAGAATCTTGAATAGTCTGATAATGTTGCTTCAAGATGATCTTTGCACATCCACATATTGTGATTAAGCTTGTTTTAATTGATTGTCACATTTTTTTAAAGTGCTCAATCCGAACTGTTGAACTCAAAAGAGAATTTGTTGATCTGTGCTATTGTTTTGTAGTGTTGCACTAGTGGTGGATAACCCTGAAATGTTTAACCGGGTTGCAAACACATTTTATTCAAGGACTAGCATGAGGTTTGTTGTTTTGCTTTGGGGAGAAAAATCAGACCTGGTTGGTCAAGAAAACAAGCACGTGCCAGTGTTTACTTTCATGGAAGTCATAAATTTGGGACGAGAGAGTCGCCAGGCATTGTCTAATACTCATGATGCTGGTAAGTATCAGGCTCTTACTAAGAATTAGGTTTCAAGTATAGATAAATATGATAAATTTTGGTTTCAGTTATTTATTTATTTATTCTTTTTTTAATGCTCATAGATTTAATATTTTAAAAATGAATCTTAATTTTTTAGTGCTTAGTACCTATGTGAACCACTAAAATCAACTAGTAGTAACTAGTATTGGGTAGATATACAAGAACTTAGGAAGTC